TTGGCCTGCAAAACACATACGAATCAATAACAGCAAACCGTGTGTGCGCTTAACTTTTTCCATCCGTGCAAAAGTATACGGAGAAAAGTCTGTGAGACTCACATTGTGGATGCTAACAATATCGCGAGAGTTAACACCAGCTTGAAGTCCATCCAGAAGGCCTTGGACAAAGTCGTAGAAGTAGTCAGGATCATCACATACCGAGAAAGCATGAACCTGTAGAGTGAAAATGAAAGATAACAGAGCCATCTATCAATTTCACCTAAAAACTGAAGAGAGATGACTGTACCTTGGCTTTTAGATCTCCCAGCCAAGACCCCAATGAGATACCAGCAATCGTACCCCCACTTGCAATCAACAGAAGAGTAAGATGAGAATGGAGCAAAACAAAAGAAAAAAAAAGTAAAGAGTGAGAACAAGTGGAAAAGCAAAACCTTCCACATGCTACCACGATATCATCAAACTTCAGGCCATCGGTTCTACATTTAAGCTGCTCCTCAATTTCCCTTGCTGCCTCGATATAACCCCTACACGATTAGTGTGACCAATTTAGCATCATAAAAGGGCTTAGTCCTGTGAAAGCTAAGACAATCTCACCAAGTTCCCAAAGAGTTGGATCCACCAACAGGAATAACATAAGGCTTCTTCCCTTCTTGTTCCAGCTTCTCTTTCAAGGCACTAGTAAGAGCCTAACAACAAACTATCAGGCTAAGTAAAACTATTGATCAAAAGAGAAAGCAAGGGAGTAAGTAAAAACTAAAAACCTCACTCCCAATGGAAGAATACTCTTCCTTAGAGATGAGATGAACATTAGCTCCAACAAGACGCTCAACAAGCAGATTCCCAACCAACCCAGGATCTCCATCAGCAAGAAGCTTCAATCTCAAAAAAAAAAACCAGCATGTGAAATCTGAGGATTTTATTTATACAAAGCAAAAAAAAAAAGAAGGAAGACCTTTGAAGTGCGGAGGATAAGATGAGTGTTGAGATTGAGGTAGTTAGAGGCGACGGTTGTAGCGCGGCAGTGATTGCTCTGGATACCGCCGATGGTGATGACGGTGTCGGCTTCTTGCTCCACGGCGTCGGCCATCAGGAACTCGAGTTTCCTGACTTTGTTTCCGCTCAATTCCATTCCCGTGAAGTCATCTCGCTGCGAAATCGAAGTGGAGACTTAAATTAAAAAACAAGATTAGAGGTGAAGAGGATGAGAGTACACTCACCTTGATCCAGAGTTCGGTGCCGTCGGGGAGACCGGGAAGGTTCCATCGATGGATCGGAGTAGGACGCTGAAGACGAAGACGATCAGTGAAAAAAAAAAGAGAGAGATAATTAATTAATTAATTAATTAATTAATTAAGGTGAATAAGGAGCGTACGTGAGCGAGGGAGAAGGTGTGAGAAGGAAGAGGACGAAGATGAGAAGCCCAGGAAGGAGGAGAGTAAGGGCTTTTGGTGAGGAAATCGGCCATGGGTGTTGCAGACATTCTTCTTTTGGTAAGCTCGAGGAAGGCTACTCTTGAGAGTGTTGAGACCCGTCTTCTCATTTGCTTCTTTCCTCTTCTTACTCGCCTCTGATTGGTTGACACACTCTCCGTAGTTTCTCTCTTATGGGCCTTATGGGCCTCCGCCTATTATTTAAGATTTGAGAAGACTCGTTGTTTCACAACTCATTTTAATAAATAAAAATTAAATTGGAAATTATTAGTATTCATATTCACTTATTTGTGATCAACGTAATAATTGATTATTAAGCACTAGGGTTGGCCCGCCCTACGGGCGGGATGGTAACATCAAAAATTACTTGATCTGTTCGTGATCTGGGCTCAAACATGAGTAAAGAATCAATGTGAGATAACAATAAACTTGCTTGAGCCATGATTATACTTTATACAACAAATGCTTACTTTTATATCAATATTAAGCAAAATTGCTTCCCATCTTCTGCACCCAACTTTAACCTGGTCCAATCACATTTCACAACCCGGTAACTAACTATCAATGCGCCAATTTGTATTTATAGTGCTTCCGCTGCCAGAATTAAAAATCTAGAGAATACAAAAGATTCAAAGTCAACATCACATCCAGCATGAGTTTCTAATAAAGCTAGCAATGTCATTTTGGTAACATCCCTTAGAAGGTCACGCTTGCAATGTATTATATGAGGAATCCCACATGTATGTAATGTACTACTGATCAAGCATGCGTTCTCCATACTTCTTGAAAACTCTCAAACATAAGTGAAATAAAATAAGTTCAGAAGGAGGATGTCTACTTTGTAAAGGTTTGATTGTTTTTAGGCACATATCACACTTACTTATCTGCTCCGTTACAAAGTAGTCAGAGTTTCCATATACTTCCTGCACTATCATTGGCTTTTCTTTTATCTCTTGCTGCCGATCCCAAAGAATGTTGAAGACTTTGTACAACCTGTAACAGAAAGCTAATTTCAGTTACTCAACTAAGTTGAAGATTAAATAAAATTTTGGTGGGATACATCAGAGAAGAAGAGATGACAAATTTTGTCAATATTGTTTATATGTTTAACTCAGGATTAGGCTTTGGATTTGGACATAGCTGGTGCTGCAAATCTACATGATATTCTGTAAAGCCAGAAGCTAAGTGATGTCTTTGTAAAGTTCAACGTTTACGTCGCAAAACCTTTCAGATATTTGGCTTCTATTTAAGTAGATTTGGTTATGCCAGAAAAAACTATAAAACCAGTATTATTAAAAAGTTAAAAATAAATCATGATCTGGAGCTTCAAATACCTTTGCTTCCTATAACCTTAACAAAGCCATACCTTTTCTTTATAGCGGACCACTGCAAACGTTTATAAATTGGTCAGAACTGCTATGAATCAAAAGTATTCAAGCCAACAATTCCAAGGCAGTACTGTTTCTGCTTCTGCTGCTACTATGGGATGGAAGCACCGGCTCCTCCTTCGGAAAAATGTAACCCAGGCTGTCATGTTTCATTTTGGAAACAGCGCAACAATGTTCTGCACAACAACACCTCACTTACCAATGAAACTATCACTACTCACTGTGAGAGCAAGAACACTATCTCTGCAAGGAAGAACCGAAAGCTCTTTAGGTGACACTAAGATTAGGTTATCTTGTTGTAAATATTGTTCAGTTTAATGATATTAACAGTAGAAAAAACAAACAGTTAAAAAGTAATAAGGCCAATCCAATTTATACGTATTTTAAAAAAATCTTTGTAAGGTTTTAAAATTTCATCACAAACTTTGAATTTTCAGATGTTTAACTAACAAATGGATGCAATAGCTTGATCAGACTTTGATGTTTCTGGATTGTAACTTTAAAAGTGAATTGTAGAAAGCTTTAGAGGTTTTGATAAGGATAGATTACGTAGCTGTTTGTGTAAATTTGCTTCAAACACTGATTTTCTTGAATTCTTCTTGGCTGTCTTTGAAGGCCTGCAAAGATATAATCACTATTTAAAATTTGAGTCATATTGGTAATTGCTTGATCTTTTTAACTACCAGAATGTTTAAAAAAACCATATTCCTGCTCCAGACTAACACCACATCAACCAAATTACAACTTTATCCAAACAAATCTAACCCCCCAAAAAATTAATGTTTTTTTTCAAGCTTTGTAGAAGCTGAATTAAGGAATAAACTGGAGAAGATGAAACTGATTTCATAAAATGATCCAATAAAGAAAAAACCTTAAATCAAATTCAAACGCTGAAAAAGCTTAAACCTTTCGATGATTTGCTTGAGGGTACATGTAAAAATCTTTAATCAAAATCTAAGTGACTTTTGAGATCTTATCAGGGTCACCTGGAAAGGTTAAATTATCACAGTATACGGACGCTCGACGAAGGGCATTAATGGCGAAATCAGAATCTCAATACATATCAAGAATAGATATATTGTGCTCCGCTAAAAAAAAAGAAGAAAACTAACCGGTTAGAGGAGCGACGATGATTGACGGTGAAGGCGGTGAAGGAAAACGGCACTATCGGTGCCTGGAAAACATGAACAAATTGAATCAAAATCAACAAACGTATGCAATATTATCTCCTGATAGGTGAAATAAAGGTTTTAATTTAATTAAAAAATGATTATGAAGTCTAATAATACTGAGTTTAATGTTGGCTTTTGTGAAGATGAAGTTTTGGGGATGTAGATTAGCCTTTTTATAACTGGAGCAACACCGACTGGAAGGGGAAGATGCATTGAATTAGGAATTGTGTTCATAGTAGATTGAATGAGTTAAGAAGATAGTTAATTGTTAAAAATCAATGCATCAGTATCAATGGATCTATAACGGCTCGAGGAAGAAGAAACTGAGCCGAAACTACCAAGACATCTCAAACCAAAGTATTGTCATCACAAATTGTTTCAATTTACTCTGTTGAAACTCCATTATTAGAGATAAATGAAAGGTCAAAGAACACGGCAGACCCTTGATATCGAATAGGCCCCATTCTTGAAGAAGGTGAATGTGATAATTGGGCTCAGATATAGTTTTCTTAATAGTCCAAATAAATAAGATGAAGACCCAAGATTTTAACTGTAAACCCCACATATAATCGAAAAACAAAAGGCTACGAAACTCAGTTTTTAAAGACACATGTCACAACCGCAAGCTTCTATTTTCTGACGTGGCACCTTTAAAGGAGGGATAACCCACGAAACTCAGTTTTTAAAGACACATGTCACAACCGCAAGCTTCTATTTTCTGACGTGGCACCTTTAAAGGAGGGATAACCCTACTTTATATAATTAGATTCTTAATTTTACCTGAGATTTTCCCCGGGTTATTTTGCATAAACTTCAACTTTTTTATCTTATTTTATTTTTTTTTGTTTTTGTATATAGTTTTTATATTTAGGATAACTACTTTATTTCAATTATTTGGATTTTAATTTTACTTTATGTGATGGTTTTGGGGAATACAATTTCCGAACTATTGAAATTCAATATCAAAAAATATATATAAGCTTGTAGGCATAAGTTGTATAATGTTCTATGAAATAGTTAGAGTTTAATTCTTTTTGTAACCAATTGTCAGAGAAGGCATAATGCATTAGTAGTATATATATGCATTTAAACTCCTCCTTTATAAAGTTGAAAATAAATAATCATTCCAATAACAGTATTATTCTTTTTGAGGAAAATAGTTTTAAGGAGTTGAATTTTGGTTGGGTCTAACGGAATTATATGATATCAGTAATGAACAATGTAATATATGTAATAGTTAAAAAACTAACAAATTTTAACAATTCATAGGTGCAGTAAGAATTATATGATATCAGTTTCTAAATATTTAAAGAGGAATAATTAACACATATCAGTGGCGCAAGGGTGGTTTGAAAATCATAACAATAAGCAATTACCATTCATAAATGGTGAAATTATATAGATAAAATGTTTGGAAAGGGAAAAAACTCTGAAAGATGCAAACTAAAAGGAAAGTAAACTGAGAAAAAATAGAAACTTAAATTGGACAGAACCATTCAATCCTTGATAAGCATGCACTCATTTAGGGGTTTTTGGTCCGCCCTACGGGCGAAAAGTTATAGTAAAAACTATTATATATTTATTTATTTAATTTTATGAAGCATTAAATCATTATAAATTGAACAAAAAAAATAATAAAAAGTCTAAGATTTTACTAAACATTTTTAGTTTGAATTAAAAAGGACAGTAACCTTCATTATTCTCTATTTTCAGAGAATATAAAATTAGCAAAAATAATTCAGAAAATGTAATATATATATATATATATGTATTCTTATTATTTTATTTCACTTCGCCATAGTCAAAGAAAATCTAACATTTAAATGAATCATAGTGAATTGCATAAGTTAGTTTTGTATATCCTTAAAAGTTAGAAAACAAAGAGATACATAACTACTAATTGATTCAATTTTTTTGGACCTTTCGTTTGTGATCCTAAAACCACCTCCAAAGGGAATTCTTCTATAGGATTCCACATATATTTATACATATATATATATATATATATATATACATAATACATATTTTAAAAATTTAAATGGGAAGAATCTCCATTAGAGATGCTCTAACACTTGTTATATCACTAACTATTTACTATTTGTGTTATTGACAAATGCATTTTCTTAAGACTGTTTGGTTTATTTGAAACACTTATGATGTATTTGTTTTGGTTGCCTTGACGACTGTATATCAACAATGTGGTGCCTTTGGTTATGTAGTTTTAGTTTATTTCCTAGTCTAAGCAATTATGATTTGTTTCCTTACAAAAAAATAATGAAACAATTATGTTTTATCAGTTTTTGGGTGTTTGAAATCTTCTTAACAGTTTCTCTAGGGTTGGACATTTTATCCATAAAGTTTGAATCGACTATTTTTATTTGAAAATTCTGGATATCCATAAATTTTCGAAGTAAAGTAAATATTAAAATTCAATATCCATTAAAAACGAAGTAAATCACAAATACTAATAAATTAGAATCGGATATCTGATCCGTTCCAAATTTTATAAAAATAAGTGTATATATACAATTAAATATAGAAATTTAAATG